CAAATATCACGCAAAATATTCCGACGGAACTCCACCCCATCGGCCAGCCTGTCGGAGCACCTGCCCCTCGATATGTCTGTGCATGTCACCGGTTCAATCCCATGAGTGACTGAGATTTGAGATCACTGTTAAGTGTTTATGGCAGTGTATGTGTTTGGCATAAGCACTGAAGCCTCTGCGACAGTTTAGTGTCAGATACCATCCTTATATCCCCACTGAGTATTTACTGGATACCGTGTGTCTCTAGGAAGACACACTGACAGCAGAAGTGGGCCAGAGAAATGCAGAGTCTGCCATTAACTGTACCCCGGACATCAGGGTATCTGAACAGTACATCCGTGAGGTGGGAAAGCGCTGAGACCTTTTACACTGTATCACATCAATTCCAATATTTTGTCTCAATATGTCTATGTCTATAAAACTGACCTTAGCATCAGGAGGAAGAGAAAGAGAAGAGAAAACTGTCAGTCAGATCTTAGCTGTTTTATCATCCACTGGGGCTTTGGCTATTTGTAGGCCACTCAGCAGTTTTGTCATCTAAACCTCAGTCAACCCAACCCCTCTGGGAACTATGTCCTATATGTATCTGGCAGCCCATTTACCAACTGAAAGCAAACCACTCTTTTCCAGTCTGGTTTGCAGAAGTGCTATTATGTGCTTAATGAAACCTAGACTTGGCATTTTTACAACACAGCTTAAAGGCTCAATCTCCTGTCTTTCTCTTGATCTCCATGAATCTAATGCAAAAAAAGCCACATGCCATAAACTTCATCGGTAGCATGCAAAAGCTGCTCTCTGTAAAAAAGTAAACACTGCAGTGCATTCATCCACATGACCTGTTTGTGCAGTAATTTTAATCAAATTTGTTACCTGAGATTGTTTGAGCGATGCTCCAATAGTACCGATGCCTTAATCATGGAAATAAGTCGGAAGTCCACACAAATTCAATTAATCTGGATCAGTTTAAAACAATTGCAGGTTATAGGCCTGAAGTCTTAATGGGCCAGGCTGGCTTTTGTTTTAGAATCTATTGGCTGACACAAGGTGAAGCAAATTACCACCCTGTTAATGGTCTTAATTAAGCTATTGCTAAAAGAAACAACATGTGCTATGGGTTGCAGAGGACTAAACTTGCTGCATCCCTTATTTAGGATCAGATCCAAATTACCCATCAGCCTTTTCGGTCAGCCACCCCCTTTGCTGACTGATACATCGCTCCCCCCCAGCATCTTACTCCACCGCCTATTACAAAGGTCATTAGCCTTCTGGCCCAGCAGCCCTAAAACAATCACATCTGTCTCTAAACTGAAAGTGACACTAACAGTGCCGTTAATTTCATTTCGCTGCCCCCTTAAACGTGGATTGTGGAGTGCCTGCTCCCATTTTAGCGTACAGCCAGTTCTCCGTCCCATAAGGGCCTGACCCCATTTAATGAAGTGGGATTATTTAATTTACCAAAAAAATGTTCCAGCTGTCACTTTATGATTGTCTGCATCGCATTTCATGCCGCCAGATGCTTTGTGTCATGCTCTTTATTTCCTGAGTGCTGAATTTACATCAAGGAATCGTACCCAGGAGACATGGACAGCACTGCATGTCGAGCGAAATTCTCCCCCCAAGAAAGATGCAATTTTCTTAACACATAAATACTACAGTATGTAGCCGCATGAGGGACAAAAAGTGTTCTTTCACCTCTCCTTTCCACTCCTCTCACTCCCTTATCACTAGGTCTGGACTTCTGCTGTCAGGATGTCTGCAAACAGAACCCAGCAGCCAAGAGGCTTTTAAATTCTAACTCCGACTTAATTAAGATTAATTACAGCAACCCTGACCTTAAATGCTGCTGGAGAGCAAACCTGGAGAGTGGAGATGGGGAGGGAGTGAGGGAGGCTCCGCTGAAAAGTTAAACGGGCGGAAAAAAAGGCATGAGGAGCACGCTTTGATGGGTGTTTAGCGTAGAGGACGAAGCTTGTGGGGGTGCAGAGTGTCTCTTTACCACGGTGAATTACACAGTGGCACTTAACTCGGAGTGTAGCTCAGGCAAGGGGAGCACCTGGGGATTGGAGCCTGCAATCCACAGAAAATAGGACATAGAAGTTTAAATCATCAACAGAGGAGCAAGAAGTATTTCAGGTAAGAATTTGGAGTTGAGTTCGGACTCCCAAAAAATGTGCAATGGAGGAACGTCTGAAGGTGCTTAAGATGAATTTCTTAAGAAGGGAGTGTAACTCCACCAAATGGCAAATAAATAGTTCCAATAAATGATAATAAATCATCAATAATATGAATTTAATCAGTGACAGACATTAAGTGTGGTGTTTGTGAAATGCAATCCAGTAGCTGAGAAATCTGTTAAGGCAATTATCAAATGGCAGCAACCAAAAATAAAAGCTAAAGGCATTTCCTCAGCTCCAGACAACATGCATAGTTTGTTTCAATAACTATATATGCCTCTGCTAACCTGGAATAATCTTTGGCATGATTTTCGATTGCCTTTATGTTGAAGGGCACCCCGCTTTGGCATCTCAGGTGTACACAACAAGGTTGTTTATGAAAAGTCCATGGCCACTCTACTGTAAGAGCAGCAATTGTAAAAACATCATCTGAGTCAAATGACATACAGAATATAAAATGCTCTTATATCTATGTTCCACAGCCATTGAGTCAATACAGGCTAAAACGTATCCCAGCTAACACAGGTCATGAGACATGGGTCATCCTGGAGAAGATGGTGGTCCATCATTGGACACCCTGGACAGGAAGCCTTTCCTTCTCATGCCTATAATGGAGCCAGAAATCATAGTGTGGATGGGCCAGCAGAAAATCAGGAGGACCAGTCACATAACAATTCTCTTGAAGACAAAATCACACTACAAATGTAACTACCTGTTTTTAAATGACACATGGCATCACTAAGACCAAATGGATAAAAAGAGAAAGAAAAATCAATTTACCTCTCAACAGCACTTTCCCTCCAATTGACCTGACCACACACACACACACACATACCTGTCAGGCAGTCATTTTATCATACTGTATCGCTTGCTGTGAACGCTGGTTGGGTAGGCAGTGTCAGCCGCTCAAACACAAAATATCCTGTGTGGACATGGGGGAGATCATGCAAACACACAGAGGAGAGGCAGGAATCGAACCCTCAGCCCTGGAGGTGTGAGGCTACAGTGCTAACTCCCAAACTGCCACACCATATACTACATAACTGTCATACTAAATATAAGGTTAAAACATATAAATAATGCAACATACACTTGCTATTTCATCTTGCACTGCATGAATGTATAAATGCAAAGCACCACAGGTGGGCCAAATCAGCCTCTGTATTATTCAGGGCTCCTGAGTTTTGTGTTGAAATCTAGCATCTGTCTGTTCTAAATTTCTGCATTTGTGAGTCCTCCTCATGTTTGTGCCAGTTTCCACTGATTGCAGTGTCTCTGAATTGCCTGCGGAGTGTGAATTGATGAGCACGCCAACTGCACTCCACACGGTAAGATTTTAGCTTTATGCGGCCCGTTCTTCATAGTTGTGCCTCCTTGATTTCAGTGCGTAATACACGGCACAGCTTTTGTCGATGAACTCCTCTTGTTTGAAGAACCTGGGCCAGCAGAAATGGCAGTGAGGGCACGTGTTTTCAGGAGGCCCAATGTAATACCACACTGGGCTGACGCAGACTTCACTCTGACAAACACACACGTGGTGGACGCAAGTGGGCCTGAAGCGGAACAGTCCATTATAGAGTGTCTAAGGCTTGTCAGAGGTCCAGGACCGTGCAAAGCTACACACTCTATCACAGTAATGGAAAATGGGGGGAGGCTGGGATTGTTCCATGCTCTGACTGTTACATTGTTAATTTTAGGGGCTCCCTGTTTGTTTTTATAACCGGAGGGTGACACTGTGGCGTAAATGCCCTGATAATAATGAATGTTTTTTGTGAAAACTCATTTTTTATTAATTACTTAATTTTTTTAAATGAAATGAGGAAAATTGTCTTTGGTACCTTCATAATTGATGTTTGGACTGAATGCAATATTATATTCATAATATATTAACATTTTATTTATGTTCCCTAGATACCTTTTATGTGAATAAATAATGTAGTGTAAAACAGGAGCCTTAGGAGAGAATTTCTGTATTAAGGAACAGAGAATTAAAAACAAAAAAAGTTCTTCTATTATATTCTATTCTACTGAAAGTACATTGTATGAAATGTGGTTGTCTAGACAGTATATAGCATGTAATGCCTAGAAAGCAGAGAATTGGCAGTAGGTGTGTCATTTGTGTGTAGATATTTAGCCTGTGTGTATTCAATTGCTGCACATTATAAAAATGAAGCTCAGATTAAGTCAAAAATATACGGCTCCTCTGGGCCTGAGTGTTATAATCATATTAAATTTAACGACAGTAGGAATGAATCTGATTTCTTTTTAACATTATAGCCCGAAGGAAAAGACATTTGCATTTGTCAGGGGGGAGTCTATAAAGAAGAATACCTACCAAATTACTATCAAATAAATGACAATAATTTAGAATAAATGTACATAATATTGTGCTCTGTAAATACATATAAACAGTTGTGAAACAGTATCTTCTAACCACATGTCCAGTATTTGGTCATGGAAAGCATAGAACACATCCCATGAACAGTGGGCTCAGAGCAAAGGACCTACTGTATGGGATGTCTGTTCATCACAGGGCACATTCTCACATTTACCTGACTGCATGTTTTCAGTCATTAGGAGGAAATACAACACAAAACAGGGAACATGCAAACTCGTGCTAATTTGTACTTCCCTTATTTACAGTGTCTTTCGCCTTTGCAGTGTTTTTTTTCTTCAGATTTTTTGGCAAGATGAAGCACCTTGAAATGCTAATTTAGTGCAATCAGTTAAAGAAGCCAGAAAAATACAGGAATAAAACTTTTTAGACAGTTTAATGTTTTGTTAAAGTCACACTTTACAGTGCACAGACCTTCTTCCTTCCGGGGGGCAAATGCTCATTTACTCTGGGGGTTTTCAAATAGTTTTTTGTTGTGGTTCTTTTTTTCACAATTCAGTGGAGCTGGACTGAGAGAGGACAGACAGGGGACAAAGGAGTATAGACAAAAATATTGTTGTTATCTGGCTAAAGAGTTTCTTTTCATTCAAATTGCATGCATCCTGAGAACTCAAGCAGATTGTAAATATCATCAAAGAACCGACATCAATATGCATTTCAATCACAGGTAACGTTTAAACAAAACCATGAAATGGGAGCTTGGTATTTCTTTGTAATGGAATGTATAAATTACTATCAAAATAAATGAAACAACACAAAGTACCATAATTGGCCTATGAGTCACGAGCTAACAGAACAGCTTCAGTGACCAGTGGCATTGATAATTCAATCGCTCATTCGGAGAGTTTGCCATACAGGAAATCGTTGTTATTTGGTTTGTTGATGGTGGTGGAAAAAACTGTCTTAGCTGGTGGACCAGATTCTCTTATAAGCATTCAGTTTTGATAAAGAACCTGATGAATGTGCCGGCAACAGCACGCAGTTCAAATACAGGTATATATTAATAAAATGCTTGGATTTAAGGGAGTCTTTCACTCAGAAAGGATTAATTGTTTTAAAAAGAAGTAATTCTGAAAGAGGGTAAAAACAAAGCTATTCCTGAATACAGAAGGACTGAACATCACCTAAATGAGGAGTTTTCCAAAGACTTTCAATGTCACTGAGAAAGAATGTTCTTTCAGGGTGGACAAACCCAGAGGGTCTTTGGGTCTCTTACGTCCCCCCCCTCAGATAAAATGTCAATTGCTTCTTTAGATAAAACTGTCCATTTTACTGTCATGATTTCAAATGGGGGATGGGATTCTTTCAGAATCGGAGTGAAGGCAGTGACACGATTCATCTGCGGTCAAGTAGAGCATCATATACTCTCCAGGCTGAAGCATAGTAGTACTCTCTCTCCCTGTGTCTCTCGGTAGATGTTTAGTAATACATCCTGCCTGGTCACCCTGGTCATCCCTAAAATTACACAGAAAAAAAAGAGATTAAATGCGTCCAAAGATGCCTCAAATTGTTCACATAACCCCGCACCCTACTTCCTTTGATGTCCTTGCAGGTCATTTATGTAGGTCGTATACGTAGAAGCTCCTATGCACTTGTCAGGGTATAAAGGAATAAATGACTCAGGTATTTATCGCCAAGCCCCCAAGAGTAAAGCTAAAGCCATTTGATTTATGTCCTCTGGGATTTATGCAAAGAACATATTTGTTCCACCGGCTTTGCTCTGAAACACCTTAAAGGCATTAATATACATGTACTTATTCACGTTTTAAATATCAAAGCAATTAATATATAGTGCATTATGAGCACCATTAATCATTCCATTCTTTATTGCTTGTCTTACACACAATACAATTCCATACGGATGCAATACCCCTCTATATGAAGGTACATTAAAATGTTCATGATTCAATTAAGAAGAAATAAACAGCAAAAATGTTTTTCTATCTCACACAGTCATTTCTCTGTCATTGTGTTGGAAAAAATGGTAATTGATTAACACATACAATGTACAATCACCTATTTTTTAAATTTGAACTTAAAAGGCACCCAGCGAGAACACTTCTTTGATCTAAAAGATTTGATAGTAGGGAATACTGAAAATCTTTTGATGTTCATGCGGTAGTAATGTTGGCTCCAGTCACTCATTATTCCATTTTCTCACCTTCTGCACAGTAAACTCTCACTTCCATGAAACCACAGGACTTTATAAAATGCTTCCACTTTAATTGGATTTTCATGCAACCAGCTGAGTGGCCACTTTAATTTCTCCTCCTACCGTTTCTGCCGTTGTCCTAACTGCGGAGGAGGTTCGGATACGGCAAACTACAGCCTAGTCACACAAAAACCTGTGTTAATAAAGCACAAAACCCAATTTCCACACATCTTTAATTCAACATATTTTTCCTATTCGCTGTGATGGCCTACAATTTTTTTTTCATCTTAATTGGGTTCACCAAGTTTAGGTCAAGGCCTTGAATACTGTTTCGACCAGTAATGATTAAGAAAATAGTCTGGATTATAAAAGTTGCTTGTGAACAAGTAGGCACGACATAAACAGGGAAAACATTTACTAAAATATACAATTTCTAAATGCTGGATCGTTTTTTTCATTTGGTAATTATGTTCTTAGTTTTACTTCACTGTTCTTTTGTCTTTTGGTAACGGTTTATGGTGTGCTTGTTCTTCTGTTTGGTTCTATTATTGTTGCGTTTTGTGTGTCAGCTGTTGTCATGGTGATGATGTGGCATATTGACTACTACTGTGTTTGTACTATGCACTGTGGGTGGGAGTGTGGAACAATAAAAAGCTTGACTGTTTCACCACAATCTCGATGTGGAACACTGGCTCACTACGAGATAAATCTACGGTATATAATATGAGAGGAGGCAGGGAACATTTCAGGGGTTGAGGAGCGCCCATGTTGTGAGGTGGGATTATTGTGCTAATTTAGTCCACCTGTTCCTTTTTTTGCTGATTTGTTTAATTTATTTATTTATTACCCCTAGTAAACCACCACAAATCTTATAACCTGTCTTCATAACCACAACTCTTAATTACACCCATGTCAGTGCTAGACTTATTTTTATTTAATCTTTTTTTGCTCTAAAAGTAATGGCCTCCTTAGTCTTTGTGTTTCCCCACTGCTCATAAAACCCCAATCCTCTGCCATCCCCAATAAAGGAGACCTATCCTCAGTGAAATCAGCAGAGTAGCCAAAAATGAAATTGCATGTGGGCCAGAATAAAAGGAGCCACACAATCCAGTATAGCTCAAAAGCATTTATTGTAATCAATCAATCTTTATTTACACAGCACTATTTTAACCACAGGGGTTACAAAATACTTTGTAATAATAATAATAATAATAATAATAATAATAAAATGCAGGACTTTAACCACACACGTTCTCCATAGGGGGACCTACCTCACAGGGGACTCTAGCCCCTACCACACAGAGGACTTTATCCCCTACCTCACAGGGGACTCTAGTCCGTACCTCACAGGGGACTTTATCCCCTACCTCACAGGGGACTCCAGTCCGTACCTCACGGGGGACTCTAGTCTGTACCTCACAGGGGATGCAAGCCCCTACCTCACAGGGGACTCTAGGCCCTATCACACAGGTGACACTAGATCCTACCTCACAGGGGATTATAGCCCCTACCTCACAGGAGACTCTAACCCCTACCTCACCGTAGTGATAGTAGGCAACAAAGCCAAGCCACATTATATAATAAATCTGCAATACACGCCCATAGTCCAGGGACATTGTAAAGATCTAAAAATCAAGCTCCAAGAGAACTACAACAATGAATTCGATCAAGAGCACCTCCTACAAAAGATAAAACACTCAAATTACAACATAGGAAACATCATATGTATTATAAGCCATAAACATGACAGACACAACTTCAACAACATTCACAACCAACTTTTCTAACATATTATCTTTATTATGATGCAGAAATACTTAAGAGGTTACATAACAGCCTGACAAAAAGACTACTGCAAAAAAAGAAATTTAATTAAATTTTTGGCCTACCTTTGATGCCTTGCCAAAGGCCTGTTTGACAGCACTTAATTTGGTGCCACCCACCTCCCCCAGTTCAATAACGTTAGTGGCACCAGGCACTCTCTGAGCCAATCAAAATCATTCTCATCCTTGCTGTTTAAATCAGGCATAGACGGGTTTGTGGGAAATCTATTTATTTTGAGATTCTTTTCTGATTTATAAATATCACAGTATTTATTTGGATCCCTCAATTCGATTTCATTCAAGCCAGTTCGATTCGATTCCAATTCAATATCAATTTGATCGGAATGAGATATGAAATACTATATAGCAGCTTTCCATATTTGGAGAGATGTGTAAAAAGCTCTTAATGGAACACAAATTCATACATGCAGAGTCACTGAAATCAATTTTTGAACATCACTGAAGAAAAGGCCAAAGGCTTGTATACTAAAGTCAAAGACTGCAAAAGCTCCTTTCCTCAAGCAATCAGAGCTCTCAACTCACTGCTACCAAAGGAATGTTGAAACCCACGATACAAACACTACAAACTAGACTTTCACACTATGCCAAACTTGCACTTCTTATAACTGGCACGTCATTGTCTTGTCTTGTCAAAAATATCCTGCCATACTTGAACCTGCTATTTTAAATACTACCGGCACACTTGACTCTAATTGCACATGACCACTTTGCTTTGTACTGTCCCTGTCCTGTTTACTGTACATAGATAGGTAGTTAGAACTAGTTTTCTATTCTTAAAAATTTAGATTTATTTATGTGAAATTTCTGTTTTATATTTTTTTGCTATATTTTTTACCTTTATAATGCACCATGGGGGACCTGTGTGGAACGACATTTCAATACACTGTATATTGTGGATATTGTTGTATTGACAATAAACCAAATCTTAATCTTAATCTTAAAATGTCTCTTTCAAAGCACAAAAAAAGACTCAAAAGAACAGTTGAAAACTGGGCAAGTCTAAAACTCACACGCCATGTTTCAGAAGGATTTTAAAGATATGTGCTAAAATATAAATTAGAGTTTCTCATTTTTTTGCATGAAGAGCAGGTCCACATGCATGCTCTGGCAGAAGGGTTGGCACCAACATGTCTACGTGATGTCGTGTTAAATGGTTACGTAGGTTTGTCACATTAAGCGAATAACTTAACACCTTAATACTAGTGTACGTGGGACTTTCAGTCAGATGCTCTTGTTCTTTTTCTTCCTATCACAAAGCTCTAAAGTATATTTAGTTTGTTCCTATAATTGTAAACTAGACTGTTAAAGGGTTCTGGGGGTATTTTTTTTATAAAAACTCTTAGATGAATTCTTAGATGGTTTGGCAAGATTTATGTTTGGTCTGCGGGCTGGATAGCCTATCCCGGAGGGTTAATCTAAAAAAACCAAAAACAAAATGCATTGGGCAAACATTGCAAAAACTACGTCTAGATAGATAGATGTCCCATGTACGCTTTGCTGTTTAGGAACAAAGAGTGGGAGTAAGGGGGGGTGGGGGGTAATAAGGAAGTTAATTTGAGCAAACTTCTAATGTTTTTACTAGATTTCAGTGAAATTCTAGGACTGTCTTGCTGTGAGACAGCAGTGCTTTAAGATGTTTTTCCATAAATTTGGTAGTAAATTGTTATGAATGAAAAGCAGGTGACATGCACTGGGAACAGCGTCTACACTGAAACATATGACCCCAGGAGAGCTGTAAGCATGACGTTTGGGTTGCTAGCAAGTCGAGGTATGTACCCAAGGGTTAAATATATAAATATATTTACATAATGTTCCGGAATAATTCAGAGTGAAATACAACCACAATTCAGACTGTTTTGATCGTGTTTTAGGTACAGTAGCTACTAGCTGGCATTCGGCGTCTGCTGACATCAGGGTAAGTGCAACGTTATGTTTAACTATTGTGGAAATTAATCTAGAAAACCAGAAATTAGCAAATTAGCCTGAAAGATCAATCCATACATTTTTATACAGATCTATATTGAATCGGAGAATTTTTTAAAACCAATTAATAAAAAAGGATATTTTTCCACATTTATGGCAAAAAAGTCACATTGATAGTGATATTTGAAAATTTCCAATTTATTGCAAGAAAAGCAACTATTTGATTGGGTGGGCAGGCCCACCCATAGCTATGACCCTGAACGAAATGCCTGTGCACATCTCGCAACTAGGCGTCTTGTTCTTCTGTGTTCTATTTATCATCTAGACTGGGGTGATTCTTACTGGATATAATATGCAAGTGACAGCTGCTACTGATACAGAAACTGTTTTCATTAAAACTAGTGAACAGAATAATGTATACTAAATGGGTGAATGTGATGAGATTCTTATCCTGCCGAGACCAAACAAAATAAATCAAAAATAAATATTCAGATGACGCTTGTTAGTATGGTGTCTGTTAGTCCTGCAATAACCCAGGGCACTGCTGATACCAGAGAATACTTATAAGCAGTTATATAACTGAATAATATAATAATAACATAATTCCATCCCATTTAAACGTATGTATCATAGCATCAATAAATTGTAAAGCTTTGCAAAAATAGGAGAATTACATTTAAGAAATGATGAGTAGCCAGTGACCCTGACCAGAATATACGGTTTGAAGATGGATGGTTGGAAATAATGAATAGCACTTATGAAGAATGGGGAAAAAAAGGACTGAAAGAGCAAACTGAGATAACTGGCTGTTGGAATTCTTAAACCTGACACTTGTACTCTTAAAGCCCTTGTCAGCCGCCAGGCATTGTAGTCCCCACATTAATCTGTTATTCTCTCAGTCCTGCATGCCAAGACCCTTTCCAGCCACCTATCATAAATTAAATAGCTGATCTAGTTTGCTCCTTAATTAAGGCGACAGATGTGATTTGTCTGACAGGACGTAGCGCTGCCCGTGGCACTGCCCTGGTTAATCAGTTCGCAGCGGCAGTAGCTTGCGGGGATAGAAATTCACAACCTTCACGAAAGCTGCTGCGGGATAAATATGAAGAGGCTCCCCCGGCTCACATTTCCAGGCTTATTCTATCTCGTCTATCTGTCTTTCTTCCACTCACAGGACAAAAAGCACATTTCTCTACCCCCTCGCATCCCCCGTGTTACATCCTTCCTTTGTTTCCATCCACCCATCTCCCCACTGCATCTCCCCACTGCACAGAAATCAAAAGCAGGGAATCAGCGGCTTGTGCCATACTGCCAACATGGAGCAACTGGAAGCAAACTGGTCCTTGACTTGGCATTGGCACAGAAAAAAAGGTTATTGTAAAAACAGATTTAACTGGATCTTTGTTAACACGTGGAGATAAACAATTAACATCGTCATCATCATCATCTTCATACGACTTTCCAAGCTGTATTTCCAAGTCTAGCTTAGTATGATGAATATTGTCAGGCGACTTGGCAGATGCAATCCCTGCCGCGTGTCTTGGTTTTACCCCAAGACCTAACAAATGCTTAAAACAACCCCCTTGGCCAACCAGGCGTCGTCGTTACGAGATGCCCAAAACCACCACAATGGACTCCTCTCTACGCTAAGGAACAGTGACTCTATTTTAAGGCTCCTTCAGATCCAGACTCCATATACTGTACCTCATCCAGTCATGGAAAGTGAGTCCAGCATCCCCACAGAGAAAACTCATTTCAGCCTCTCACTCATGACCTTGTTCTTTCAGTCACCACCCACTGCTCATGATGATTGGTGAGATGAAGGACTTGGATTGACCAGTAAACCGCAAGCCTAATATTAATACTAACACTTTATTGTACCATCTCACTACCCACAAAACTACATTCACCAATCCAGTGCACCCATCACTCAAGAAGAAGGTCCCGAGGTTCTTAAACTCCTTCACTAGGGGCAGACTCTCCCCCCCCACAAAATAGAAATTATCCACTGTTTCCAGAGAAAGCATCATGTCCTCAGATTTAGAGATGCTGTTTCTTATTCCCGCTGTATTATGCTCAGCATCAAACCACTCGAGCACAAGCTAGAGGTACTGGTTGGATGAAGTCTGTAGATAAAAGGGATGTCATTGATATCCTGTCAATTAAAACACAAAAAGGAGTAGAGACAAGATACACACTTTACGGAGGCAACTTTGTGCCAAGGATGTGGTAACAACTTACCCATAATATGTGCCAGGGCATGCAGTCATATGCCTTCTCCAAGCCTATAATCCTGCAGACTGTGTTAGAATTTGCCACAAACCTCACACGAGTGTGTAAGGGTTCACCCGATAACTGAAATGCATTCTCTTGTCCATTTTTTAAAACTATGAACTGCCAGTCCACAAGTACTTTATGTGCTGTCCATGCAACAATGAAAAGTAGCGTCAAGCCTTTCACATCCAGTCCTTTCAGCATCTCTACAAAGTTTTTATCTAGCTCTACATCCTCCACTCTGGTGACTTCTGACCTCCATAGCAACTTAAGTTGCCTCCCCAAATTCCTCCAATGCATGAGCTTACAACTACATGACCGGTCCTTCTGGTCTGCCAATACTTTACACCTGTCTCAGGAGACCACCAGCAAATATTACTCTGAAGGCTTGACAGCTTCCCTCACCAATGGTATCCTGTGGGTTCTAGGGTTACGATCATAAAAGTCAACTACTGCCAACCAGCCTGCTTTTCGTAGTTTTCAGCATGGACCATTCAGAAGCAATATACCCAGTCTCATACTGGAGAAGTGTTTCTGGGGGTGTGAGATTCGTCTGACATAGAAGTTTCAGCCAGATGTTCCCAGTAAATGCTGACTGCTTGTTTGGAATGTCCTAGTCTGTCTGGGCTTCTGCCCATGCACCAAATCCAACTCACCGGCGTTATCAATTGATGGCTCTGCCCTCTATCCCAGCATCCAAACCATCATGGCCTTACACCTAGAAGTTTGTATGTTTGCAATCCGAGATGTATCCTTTAGGCCTAATCAATGGCGTGTGTCTAAACCAGACGTATCATCATTCCTGAAAATGAACGCTCTACGCCCCCAATTTGATGTTTATATCTTGTGCTTCGCAAATGGGTAATATTTCTCATTAGTGCTGCCCATTATTTAATTAGAATGCCCATGGTGATTATTATGCCTAAGAGCTACTGGGCACACGTCCAGCATTCGGAAGACGGTACAGGGAGACAAGTCTTAATATCCAAGTTTTTTTTTCTTAATGCAATTTTCTTTCTATATTCAAAACACTACAAAAAACGATGCAGAGGCTCCACTCAGTTTAATTTGCTTTGGCTACATTCAGAACCATAGAAATCATCAGAAAACAATCTCAAAGATAACTGTTAGATTTTTAAGCCTATGAAGGTGACAGCACATTTTTCCAAAGGTTTTACAAAGAAAATAATAAGCTATATCATTTTATGGACATTTTTAGACAGATAAACAATAAAGGCAGAAAATGTGGCTATAGTACAATGCATTGTTAGTTGCATATACTGTACAGTGCATTGCAATTTTACCTTTTCTTTGCTGTAGTGTAACCAGTACATAATTTAGGTGTACATAGTTTAAGGTGTACACACTGCATTATAATAGTGTCCAAATAAATACAATTATTCAGTCAAAAATATATGCATTTCTTTACTTCCTCAGACCTAAAAATAAATTCTAAATAAAAAATTAGAATCTCTATGATTTCATTCAACAAATGTACAGTACCAGTCAAAAGTTTGGCCACACCAAGCCGTCTACAAAGGAGAGTGATAGAGTGTCAAATCACATGACCTGGTCACTGAACCAAAGCACAGTGCAATTGGTTTTTGAGGAGTTTGACCAGAGAGTGAAGGAGTAGCAGCCAATGAGTGTTCAGCATATATGAGGAACCTGGAGAAGCCCCCCCCCCCACATTATTATTGTCAGTGCATAATTCTATATATATAATTCCCATATTATTTTATAATTTTTATGTCTTTGTAATTATTCTAAAATGTAGAAAATAGTACAAATAAATCTTTTTATGGGTAGGTGTGTCCAAACTGTTGACTGGTACGGCATCTCTATTATGGCCACACCATAATATGCCATGATGTTGTTCTTCCATAGGAACACGAGAAGAGAAGTCAACTGGCCACAGGATAGGGCTTTCATGGTTCCTAGTGTACAGCCAGCAGCCAAGTAATTATATTATTTCAAATACATTCCTTTGAAAGCATGAACATATCCGTGTATGGCAGAATACTCCAGAAAAAGAAATTGCATTGAAATATATTAACTTTTGCAGTTAACTCAATCCTTACTTAAGGAGTGTATGGACCAAAGAATGGAAATTGTGAAAAAAAAAGATATTCAAGGAACACTCTGCCAGTTTGTTTAATGACACATGGAGCTTTGCAATGTAATTATACTGACAGATACTGGCAGGCTGACAAGGGACAAATTTGTTTACAAACAGAGGCAGGGTAATGAGTCTTCACGGCCAAAAACTCGTGAAAGAGCTCCTCATTGTTTCATGGGTTGGGAATGGATTCCTGGGTTTGCTACAGATGACAGAGCTGCACTCATTAGTGTCAGCGCACACACAGATAGAGATGGGGAGACAAAGACTTGTCTTTACTTTTTTTCTCTTTTTGTTTTGCACTTATAATAGCTGACTTAAATCTGCGTTTACTCACACACATTCCAAAGGGTAATATTACCTGCCCATCTCTCTAGAGATGTTCCTCTTCTCAGCTCCACAGATCAGCCATGTGTCTGTATGAATGGAAAGGAAGGAAGAGACATTCGCTGATTGGGCTGTCTGAGTCACTCTGTCTTATCTCACTCTAAAACTCACTTTTGGAAAATTGGAATTGTTTCTTAGGTTTTACTTCTCCTTAGCTATCAGGTGAGAGACAGAACCCTCAATTTTGGGGGCCAGCTGATGCTGACTGGTTGAATAAATCAGTTTTTTTTCCCCTCACAGCTGAAGACTGACCTTTTGTCCACCGACAAGGGTAGATAATGTTGTTATTTTTATCATTTCATAGACTCCATATCTTTAATCAGCACAATTTTTGAAGTTAGGTACAGTGTCTGGGCCGGTTGTTGTGATCATCCGTACACAGTTGTGGTCTGTTGACTGTTTCACTGATGCTTTTATTTTTGAGAATTTTTTTCTTCCAGGTATCCATCAATCCATCCATTTTCCAAACCGCTTATCCTTCTGGGTTGCGGAGGGTCTGGAGCCTATCCCGGAAGCTACGGGCATGGGAACAACCCAGGATGGGGGGGGGCAGCCCATCGCAGGGCACACTTGCACACACCGTTCACACCTATGGGCAATTTAGTAACTCCAATTAGCCTCAGCATGTCTTTGGACTGTGGGGGGGGGGGGGAAGCTGGATTACCTGGAGGAAACCCCATGACGACATGGGGAGAACATGCAAACTCCACACACATATGTAACCCAGGCAGATACTCAAACCCTGGTCACAGATGTGTGAGGCAACAGTGTTAACCACTGCACCACCATGCCACCCCCTTCCAGATATATGACATCAATGTGTTTACAATACATAACATTTATATAGCTGGCACTTTGAGTATTTATTTACACGTTTTATATTTTAACAAAAGTTCTGTCATTGTCAGCACGATAACATTATTACCTGGACATCCTTTTAATGCAATTAATGTTGAAAAACATTTTCATCATTTTATGATAAAATATTATTTTATAGAAGTTCTATCTGTGAGCACGCCATCCAGCCGTGATCCCATAACATTAAAGGTGTAAAGCAGGGGTGGCCAATCTTATCCGCAAAGGGCCAGTGTGTATGCGGGTTTTCGCTGCAACTCCCTAATTAGATTACTAATTAGAGGACTGATTGGCTGAAGAGTCCTCACACCTGGGTTTGAACAGCTGACCTACATGTTATCCCAAAAACCTGCATACACACCAGCCCTTTGCGGCTAAGATTGGCCACCCCTGGTGTAAAGCAACAGAACTTTCTGCTGCTCTACCATGCTCTTCCTCTCTTTTTGTTTTATTAGTTATGGTTGTAGTAGCGCGATAAGGTTCTGAGAAACATCAGAAAAACTGGACACGTTTTCAACCATAATCGCAACGTTCTGTAAACGTTACTAGAATGAAAGAATGCTAAGCATAAGCATACTCTAATGATTGAATGACTGGAGAAAATGTGTATATTTCGTAGATTAAGTTTAGTTAATGTCCCTGGAATAGGCTTACTACATTAATTAGTTTAATTGGGTACTTTTGCTTTAAGAGCGGTCTTCAGTGAGGTCATAAAATATTTTTTTTCTAGAAAAAGTTCACTGCAAGCGTGGGAGCATGTTGTCTTCTTACTGTGCAGGTTAACTTTCATTCTGAAACTTGTGGAATTACTGGATACTAAATACGGAATTAACAAAACGATGGGACGCAAGTGAACCGTAGCTAAGGCAGAGTCACCTTGTTTCGCGTTTACTTTGGGCTACCTGGGTACATTTGCTGGAGTGATTCACCTCTTGCTGGACTTCATCTCTCCTGCTGCGTCGTCTCACCCTTGTTTCTTTCTTAATTTCCTTTTCCTCTTTTACTTAATCCTGTCTCCCTTCGGAGTTGCGGTCTGTTCAGCATTAATCCCCTCTAGTTCGTCCTTTCTTCCCATGGTTCCTCGGGGTTCTCCTACTCCTCGACCTCCTGTCTTAGCATATTCCTGCTTAATAAAACTGACAGCAAATATCCTCAGTGAACCATGATTTTGGCGACTTACTTATGAGATAATTGCAAATGCCTGGCAGTTATTACAGCGTCACGTCTCCAGATTTGCGGTCTGAAAGTGAGATATTTGCTGGCACTAGATCTGGCTGACATTTCTATGACTGAATAGGTTCCTGCAATAGTTAAAATGTAGTTATTCATATGCATAATTATAAATCTCGTGTAAGTTTATCTTACACATGTTGTAGACTTGTATATTGCAAGTATAGCTCTGTTTACAGAAGAATATTTTAGTGAGAACTTTCAGCCTTCTTTTCAGTCAAGTATAAACATTTCTGTCTGTGATGTGAGATATTGTGCTATGTACATGAAAGGGGAGTTTATCTTTACTGGTAGATTTTATTAACTTCAGTCTTGGCATTACATTCCAGTTTCTTCACTTCTAATTTATTTAGATCTTTATGTTTTTAAAGGTATTTTAAATTAACCTGACATAAATATCAAAAAATGGAAATGCTGTGAAATAACCTAATAAAATACTGCCCTCCAAAATTATATACTATTCTGAATATGGTATATGAATTATTTTTATATGGTAAAACACATTTTATAAATTCATTTTACAGTCTTAACTATAATTATAGAGTACAAAAAGTTGCAAAAACAAAACATGCAATAACTTATAGTATCTTTTAGTATCTTTTTACGTCTCTAAAATTCAGGTCATAGTGGTACTTTGTAGGTATGTTATATTAACATTTGAATATGGTGTCATTGTTGGTAAGCATCCCTGAAATGGTATTTCTGTGGCTGAAAACGCATATTGCTAAATAAGGAGATTGTAGGAGAATGACAAGGCTTGGTAAAGCTGACAGGAAGGCCACAAGTTCAAAAATATCACATTGGTACGAATAGGGTGCGTAAAGGCGGAACACACAAGTTTTCCATCCCTCAAATGGTGCTAGAAGCAGAAATGAGTATACTTGATGCATGTAAATGGGAGAGGCCTTTTGACTGTAAAGAAAATAGAAAATTAAATATTGGTCCAACCAGGGCAGCTTAGGGATTAGGAACCGGCAAACAACAGATACTGAACATAGTACTGGTTTGATGAGTGCTGTGCTGTAACTTTATATCTTGTTTGACACTTTGGATTTGCAGTGATATTTTTTTTCCCCCCAAAGGATACAATTTAGAGACAAGATCTGTCCCGACAGACAGATTTTGCTCCATAGAAATTATCCAGCACAATTTCTCATACCTTTGAATCAGGCACACTCTGTCCTTAACTAGCTGGGTTATAGGAACAGAAGACACTCCAGAAGGATTTTAGTCCCAAGACATTTGTTACTTAGTAGGGCTGAGACAGGATTTTGACTCTGATCCAAGACAATTATGTCATGCCCATGAGTATTAAAAAACATTACAAGAAAAAGAAAAAGTAGGACTTCCAGGTTGCTGTTTTTGAAAATACGTGCTGTCGAACTCTGAAAATAAATATAAAGTTTTTTTTGCCTTTGTCTAAATTATATTTATGCACACTCTACAAATTATTTTTGGAAAAAAAAATTTCAATACATTGATTATGCAATGGCAATTGTATTTTACGCTCTAGCACACAAATGTACAATGTAAAACTGCAACATCATCTGAACTTGCGGGAAGTTTCAACAATGTGTGTGGCTGCAGCAACATCATTCTCCGTATCTCATCCATAACTAATGAGGGAACCTTTTTTTGTTATACTTTATTTCACTGATCTGATGAATTTCAAAGAATTTCATCAGCTTCCTTACACCCTGCAAGGGTTCCTAATGCTATGATGTGATGTGATCACACATCCTTTCACCAAGCATTCCCATTTTGAGCATCTGCGAGCTGTAAACATCAGGTTCATTTATGGCCTTCCCACAGCTAATTAGTGAATTAATTTTCATCCACCAGATTGTCACATATTTCTGGACAAAGTAGAAATAGAAGTAAGGAAAAAAGCTTGAGGATGAGGTGAGGAAAACCCCTGAAATATAGTATAGCTGATCATGAAAAGTCGAAAAACAGAAATAAAAGCTATTTGATTAAGCAACAAGAGACAGTCTTCTTGGAATGGTGTAAGCAAGACCGTTGCTGTGTTTTCAGTATTGGGGGTGGCAGCGAGAGATCCAATAAGTGACTGTGTCAAATCCGTCTTCTCACATTATCCTTTATGACTTCCTATCTATACCAACGTATAGGCTACCTGTCCATTTCAGTACTGACTACATACATTCATTTATGCGTCTGAGGCTAAAATCGTCGCTAAAAGTTCTTTCCCCTCAGTCAGTAGGTTAGATGAGAACTAAATTCTCCCAACAAATTTATTCATATTTTTAAAAGCAAACTTCTGGAAAATATTGGGTCGAAAAACACCAATGTTTTGAATACTGTGCGGTTTGTGTCCCATCTGTCCCCTCATAATTAGCACATATGGGTGTAAGAGACACTGATCTTGGCTGCAAAGGAGAATTCCCATTTTCCAGACAATTGGTGGAGCAGTTACTGCTTAGCCAACACGTGGGACAGAGAGAAAGGTAGAAATATGGCAGGTGCTGGGCATTACACAATGAAGACATGATTAGCTGTCACGGCAATATATGCAATCATATTTTATGTCCATTGTAGAAATACAGGATAAATGACACAGCAAAGAAGTTTTATCAACACCATTATCATTGCATCCATTGTTTCACTGCTTATGGGGTGGCCTAGGTAACCTGAAGTCCATGCCAGGCAGCACAGCCCCTGAGTCTGGGAGACACCTGCAATGGGACACTAGTTTATCACTGTTTTAAGGCTGCATGAGGAAACAACATGTAAAATCCACACACCAGATGCAGGACTCCAACCCTCCAGATGTGAGGCAACAGTGATAACCACTGAACCATCAGCTAGCAAACTAGTAACATTACCTTTAGCCTGGGCCTCTGATTTGAAAATAATCGGGCCTTCCCAAAATAAAATGGTTGACACACCCAAACAATTTGCACAAACATGCCCACATGTTCCCGATGGTTCGCGAGATGCTAACCAAGCACAAACTGATTTCTACGTTTTACTTACTTAGGGATAAACAAACTCAAATTGTAAACAAACTCATGCTCACAGACATACTAATATGGGATTCCCTTGGCATTATAAGCATTTTGGAGACTTCTGCCCCAGTCCAGTACATTATATTGAAAGCTCTACCCCTGGGAACAATTGATCGAAATCTTGTCTTAATCTGTTAAGCGACCACTCCGCTTGATCAGCTTTTTCCTTGCCACCTCCAGTTTACCCAGTCTTGAAAATAGCAAATAAAAGAATAAAAAATGGCTTTACTTGTGTAATTGAAGCTTTTTCTGCTGAATTCCATTACATCGCGCCCCCTACTCCCCCATATGAATGCCGAGATCAGCATACTTTGTGCAGTTACTGTTATGTTGTTCACGTAAACAAACAGGAAGTGCACTCAATCCGACTGGTGGCCCTATTGGATTGCTAACAAATTTTATTGTTTTTATTTTTTTATGTCAGGATAATCTTTTTTTAATGGTTGGAAACTTGTTTATCACTATAATTAAGTTGTTTTGTGTTGGAATTTTTGTTTACATTATTGAAATTATTGAAAGTCTGGAAACTACGTAGTAGCCATTCAACAGACGAGTCAATGAGGGGCAGGGCGGAGTAACAGGTAGGAGGGAGCAAAAACATGGACCGCTGGGAGGAAGCAAAAACGTGGACCATCTGGCAGGAAGCTGGGAGGGAGCAAAAACATGGACTGGCTGGCAGGAAGCTGGAAGGGAGCAAAAACATGGACTGTTTGGAGATCCCTGAGCACTGGGTTGGGAAACACTGATCAACAACCATTTGTCTTCTCAGCAGGTGTATAACTGGATGGATTTGTTTTTATTTTTTACAGAAGGTGGATGATTGATAACTTGATATAAACTTTGTACATTTCTTCTTATCTTCTATATACAGCAAATGTAGTTAATTAGCTCATGGCAACGGCATAAATTTGCATATGGATTGTAGGGACATGTGGCTAACAATACTGTGGAATTACCACGTGTGTAGGGGGGCAGGGAGTGTAGAGCTGATTCGCTCCCTGCAAACGTTGAAACCAAACCTATGCTCCTGGCTCATGGGCATAAAAAACTAGAAAAAATCTTAAAAACTTATCAGTCAGGCTTCAGACATGGACACAGCACAGAGACAGTATTTGTTAACATTGTTAATAGCATTCCACTATCTCCTGACAACAGTTCTCTCTCTGCTCTAGTGCTTCTTGACTTGAATGCTTCCTCTGATACAAAAGATTAACAGATCCTTTTACAAAGGCTAGACGACACGTTTGGAAATGGAAGTGCCTCCCCCTAGTTTAAATCATACTTATCACTGACAAATATCCGTCTATCCCTTTTCCAAAACCGATTATCCAGTTCTGGGCTCTGAGGAGCCTGGAGTCTATCCCAGAATGCAGAGGGCATGAAGCAGGGACTACTCTGCATAGTACATCTGTCTATCACTAGGTGTGACAAATACATATATATATATTTTTTTTCCAAATGAAGAATGACTTCAAGTATTCTGCCCATAGATGTTGCTGTGCACTTCCAAGCAGCAGTCATTCTTAAACGCCTAGGTTCCACTTCCATGTGGATATAAGCTGATGGCCAGAGTCGAATAAAATCAGATTACTCTTACCACTATTTCTCTAGCTCCGATTTGTCAGTTGCCTGACATATTACCTAGCCTCTATCTCTTACTCCTTCAAAATCCACCGAATAGCTTCTTCAACAACATGCTGAACCCGAGTTCAGTAAAACGTGCACATTCTGGTAACTCACTAGCTACCTGGAATAGTTTGCCTGCACACCATTAACAAATTAATCTGCAAATGTAGATTAAATGCACGGTGCTTCATCACATTAATTAATCTGTCTTTAATGTGTCATTAAAGTGGCATTGCTTGAAATGCTGAACTTTTCTTGCATTTGAATAGGGGAAGTCATGGTCA